GAGATGAAAGAGGCACGATGCTCGAAAAAGCTCGCAAACATGGGTTGTGCTATACCATGTAAAGGTAGCATGAGAAACGGTCGGATCAGCTGCCCGATGGCCGAGTGGGTAGTGTGCTTGCGTTCTACCTGTCCCCAGTTCGATCTGTACTGTCGACGAGACCCAACTAGGTCGAAACAGCTGTCAAGTGCTTCCCAGCTCTTCAGTTCACGCCTCATTTACACGACGAGTTCATCGTATAAGCCAAAGATAATCCTGCGGTGGTATGAGCGGCTCTTTTTCAACTATATCAGTAATCGGTCTACGAGTTTCTAATTACCTTTTGGAATAAAGTAAACTGATGATGTGGCTTCTTGCAAAGGTGTTCAAACGGGTAATTAGTATCAAAATTTAACCAATAATCTGTTCCATATTTTACATTTTTCTTTTATAACTTCATTATTTTTAAATCCCTTGATTTTACTTTCTTTTATTGAATATCTAATGATAAAATTATCAGGACGGGAAGGCTGCCAATCCGAAGGCTGAGAAAGAACACTGAGAATGGAAAAGTTAGACACTGCTGATGTGTTTTGGATACAGGAATTCAGGGGTGAAAATTTAGTGACTCTTACCGTTTGACCACCATCTCCAAGCGGAATGGGACCTAAAATGTAGATTCGTATTTTGAGTGTATATATTTATCTTTTCTGAGTTTGGTTAACCATGAAATTCTGCTATTATCAACACAAATACATCTAACTTGAGTAGATTCCCTGAATTATTTTGGAGTAATCAAGGTAATCGAACTTACTCGCAAGCCGGCAATAGATAACCAAGGTTAAAATTTAGAACTGGAGAGAGCTCCGGCGAGTTTTTCTCAAATATGAGGACTCAACCAATTCGATAACAGGCTAGATGTAACTTTACTGTTTGTTTATGAATATATGTACTTTTCCTATTTTTCTCACTGTCCCTCACGGATGTTCGACGGTATTCCCAAGAACGATTGCAAACGTCTTCTCTGCAAGCATTCATACATTCTGATGACCTATTTGCAAAACCGGTTGAACTACATGAAAAACTGACTGAATGTGAGAACATAAAATCCTTACTGATCTCAGTACAGTCTACATGGTAATTTATCCAAGTATCGCTCTCGAGGCTCCACAAGTTCTCTATTTCACTACATACCCTTTCTCAAGGTAACCCTACTGTTCCGAATCGAGCACACACTGCTCTGCTACAATTCTCAACAACTTTTTATGGTTAATCTTGTCCTCTACTGTTGTCTTTTCATTTTGACAAATTTGACAAATTTTACTCACATGACTGGATGGCTATTGTTTCATTCATTTCTTTTGGTATAAAGTGTAACTTTTACCTAAAAGGTGAATAGTAGTCTGCGCCAAATTTTGCAGCACATGCGATTAGGAATTGTACCATTTGGTTTGAACACAAGATAAAACTGGACAGTCAAACGGTGGAATGTTACAGAGTGAACCAAAAAAAACACACCAAAATCGACCCATGACACGAGGGGATTGATAACCGGGGTATGCTTGGCGCAAATGGTCTTCCGGTAAGGGGACGAACAAATTCGTTTGTGTACGAATACACTCACTCACTCACTCACTCACGGATCGCTACTTGAGATACATGTTTGTACGTGCAGTTCGAAATGGAAGGCCAAAAACCATATGCAATTTGATGCAGTGGATGCCTGGGTTAAATTCACAAGATACGAGTGTGTATGTCTGTGCGTGTGTGAGGGGGGATTTTGTGTACAGAGGACAAAAAGCCGTGGCTCTACGAATTCTCGTTCGCGCTGAGTTCGACCGAATAGTGTTTTGTCTCTAGCTAACTAGCCAGCTAACTGGCTAAGAGTAAACAGATCACTTCCGGAGAAAAATGATCCAACCTACAAAAAAACCCGAGAAAAATGCACTGTAACATGTAGCCATAATTCAAGCGTCAAAGATTAGTTTCTCGCATTCAGTCCAGTGCGGTTCATGAATCGTTCAGTTCTTGGTTCGAGTTCTATCAGTCAGAACAACGATACACAATCTAATTGTCAGCTAGGTGACAGAAAGCAACCGATCACTCAACAATCCTGGTGCCCGTATACGTATACATGTGACATCGTTGATTCTGTATGCATTTTTAGCCTGACTGGAAACAACACAGTCATACAAATAATGATTTCGTGTCCCTCATTCGCATTCACACAGTTTCCGGTATGACAGCTTATTGCTCCCCAACTTTCTCTCTCTCTCTGTATCTATGCCTCGTTATTTGGGGTTTCCTTGCTGGTCTCATTCATGAAACCTCCTGGCTACCCCAATACCATATTTTACGCACAATCGGAAATTTTCATGGGACCAATTGTCATAATGAATGCCTCCTCCTGAGGTGTTGTTTAGCTCCAGTTACGTGGAGCATCCATTCATTCACACTGTAGTTTCTCAATCGGAAATCTGTGCCTGGTTGTGATGCAATTTTCCTTCGGTGCACACTATCTATGTACAATGTGCACTAGTTCCGTATACGATTGTGGGTACGCATGTG